TTCCAAATTACTTCTCGGTCGACGCTGTCAAAGGCCTTCTCAAAGTCGATGAAGTTGAGGTAGAGAGCTGATTGCCATTCTACGCTCTGTTCTATGATGATACGAAGCGTTGGAATTTGGTCTGCACATGATTTGTACTTCCTGAAGCCTGCCTGTTCCGGTCGTAGTTTTGAATCCAGTGCATCTTTAAGCCTGTCCAGGATGATGCGGCTTAATATTTTACTTGAGGTGGACAGGAGAGTGATTCCGCGCCAGTTCATGCAAGCACTCAGGTCTCCCTTCTTCGGCAGTTTGACAAGGTAACCCTTCTTCCAATCGTCAGGTACCTTCTCTTCCTTCCACACCTTCTGCAATAGTGGTGTCAGCATGTCCGCTGTTGTCTCTGCATCTGTTCTCAGTGCTTCTGGTGGGATTCCATCTGGTCCTGATGCTTTCCCGCATTTCAGTAGCTTTATGGCGTTCAGGACTTCCATTTTCGTTGGGGGATTTATGTTCACTTGTAATTCAGCGGCTGTTGGTGGTATTTCTGGACGAAGTGCAGGTGGTGGTGGTGGTCGATTCAAGAGCTTCTTGAAGTGGTCGGCCCATCGTTTCCTCTGTTTCTCTTCTTTTGTAATTAAATTTCCTTCTTCATCTTTTATTGGTTTCATCTGTGTTGGTCTCTTCCCTGATAGCAATCTGGTTATTTGATACAATGTCGTCAGGTCTCTCCTACCAACCAGCAGCCTGTTCTGCTTCACTTGCCAGTGTTTCGTAGAAGTGTCTTTTGTCTCTGCGTGCACTCTTCTTCACTTCTTTATCCAGTGTTTTATACATTGTGCTCAGTTCCTCTTGTCGTTGAGCATCCTTGCACTGGTTTATCTTCTGCTTCACCATCCTCCTCTCCTCTATCAGCTTCCAGGTATCCGTCGAGATCCATTCCTTGTCTTCTTTCTTCTTCCTTCCTAATACTGTTGTGCAGGTTTCTTTCCACATAGCTTTCAAAGACTTTCAGTGTTCTTCCACACAGGTTTCTTCAGGGATGTTGCTCGCTGTCTCCCATTTTGTCTTGATGGCTGCCTTGAAGATCTCCTTTGTAGTTTCATGCTTCAGTTTCCGAGTGTTGTACTTGAATTGAGGTCTGTCACCAGCTTCCTTGAAGGCTTTTAACTTGATTTGGAAGGTTCCTTGCACTAGATAGTGGTCTGAACCTACATCTGCTCCTCTTCTTGACCTTGTGTTAAGTAGACTGTGTCTCCATTTTCTTGAGATTGAGATGAAGTCGATCTGATTTTTAGTGTGTCCATCTGGTGAAATCCATGTCGCTTTGTGAATATCTTTGTGCTTGAACACACTGCCTGACTCCAATCACCAAATCGTTGAATGCACAGAATTCTGCAAACAATTCTCCATTCTCATTCATTTCACCTAGCGCCTCTCGACCCATGGTTAGTTCTCTTCCTGTGTTGTCCCCTCCCAGTTTGGCATTCATGTCGCCCATTAGAATTTTGATATCGCCAACTGACGTCTTGTCCAGTGTTGATTGAAGTTGTCTGTAGAAATCCTCCTTTTTCTCTTGCTCTGTATTATTTGTAGGTGCATAACATTGTATGATTGTGACCTTCCTTCCTTCCTTCCTTTTGAGTTGAATCTTGCTGTCATGATCATGATCGTTGAGGAGATTGGTTCCCACTGCATGAGAGCCTTCGATGCTGTTGGGGAAATCATGACAGCCACTCCCTCAGTGTGCTCGTGGTTGTCGTCTTGGTGACAATATCGGAGTCGATTATTGACTCTCCAGTTGACAGTTTGGAGAGTCCACTCCCATTCCATCTGCTTTCGCAAATCCCAAGCACTTCGATGTGATACCTTCTCATCTCCTTTTTGCAATCTGGGCTGCCTTACTGGGTTCAAACATCGTGCGGACATTCCATGTCCCCACGTTTACTTTCACTTTTATGGAGAGAAGACACATCGGCCAATTGGCTTCCCGAAGCCAGGCTTTCACCAACTGGCGTCATTTTGCCTCTCCGATTCCAGCGGGGAATAATTTTGTTATTATTTTTAATATTTTGTTTGTGCTTTGAAGTTTCTTTAGCGGTTAGGTGTGTTTTACGGGGTAGGGTTGCTAGCCATATGCCCGACCTTCCCTCTTTACGGGGGCTTAGGACCGGCTAGTAACTAGTAAACTAGTTAACCAGGCGAGGTTATCTTACACAATACGAATAAGGATTTAGAGTAGAAAAATAAACAGGGAATTAGTGCAGTAGATATCGTCACACAATGGGGGATTTATTTAGAACAGTCAGGGTTTTATGACGGCTATGGCAAAAATGAAGATTGAATGTACTTCTTTAGGCACAGCATTGGTTAAGACTTCTGGGTGACTACTACTTCAGTTATGCTCAAATGCCTTGTTCCCCTCTCTTCTGAGTAACATCATCGAACATTGAAGAGGTTTTCGAAAGAGTTCTCGAAAGCAGCTGAATAAACTGAGCACACAGTGTTCTGTTATAGAGTTGAAGAAGTATCTCCATTCTTCTTTTTCTAGTTAGGCCAAGTATTGTTCTCAAGAGCTTTTTATAAGTAAGCTCATGGTACGGCTGATGTACTCAGGCACGAGTAAATAGTTTTACTGATTCTCCTAGACTACTGTCTTCATTTTGGTTGTGATATTTCAGTTATGGTAGTCAGAGTTCTGTCAGGATCCTAATTGTGAAAAAATATTGCAGGAAACTCGACAAAATGTTGATATTTATCCTTTTTATTTTATGGGTACTGATAGTTCAACTATCAAATTTTGTAGTTGTACACCTGCTGAAGAAAAACTGGTTTGTGATGAAAATATTCAGCCGAAATGTCATCGTCAATGCGTCTATTTTCCCCTTTTAAACCAGAATGACAAATTTTAGATATTCTCCATTGTCATTTTTCAAATGTTTCATAATTATTAGACAATTCTAAGATCAGTAGGATGTTATTATTGTAAAATAAGCATAAAATTTGACTCAACTAATAACAACCAGTGTCACAAAAAAAAAAGAAATTTCCCGTCACTTTCTTTATCTACTCTATTAAGATTTGCCCTGAATGATTGTAATTTAAATTAAAAATTAAGGAAATGTTACTGTTACATAACCACTTTGATATATATTTTGTTACATATTTAAAAGCGGTGTCGATACCATTGTATTTGCGACAGAATACACGGAAATGGATAAACATCAGGTGAAGAAAAGATAGAGAAGTAATTCTAGATATTGAAGGAAATGATATTGCAAACAGCAGCTTATTTCCTGCTTATTCCAAGGTTCTCAGTTGTACCAGTGAAGTCATATGAGGAAATTGTCATGCTAGTGATATGGTTAGATATTTAGAAGTATGAAAAAGCTTGGACCGGATTTCCGTGCAAAACACTGGATTTATTTTACTTCAAACATGCTATGACATACACAAATACAAACTGTATCTAGTGATAACATGATCAGTTGTCAGAAATATTTACCAAATTCTTTATAGAACTAACATATCGTTTGGTCTAAATTCCATTTACTGAGTCTAAATATTTTAAGGTTTTGGATTGTTTTTGAGTTATACTATCTGGACCCGTGAATTATAACCACTTTTTAGGATGGCGGTTGATGCGAATATGAAAAGAAATTCAGTTAACGATATCAATGATATATGTCCAGTAGGTATAATGGAAAAAAGGTGTCAGTCCTAATTAAAATACCGTCGGAAAAACGTTTCGCACATACTACTGTCAGGTAAAGCTGAAAAGTACCATTTATTCTGTCAGCAAAAAAATTCGATATTTCTAATTTTGAAACAAAGATTTCGGGTTGTCATCAGCTAGATTTCTCACGGTTAAAAGGACAAAATATGCACTTCACTATGGCCACAAACATCGTTACACGATCAATTTGCATTGTATTACTTTAAATGGCTTACGTGTGTGCAGGCAAATACTGTAACTAAAAGATAAGAAAAGGAGTGGAAAGTTTAGCTTTCGACTAGGACGAAGGTCAGACAGTAATCTTCGTTTCCTGCAAAGCCACTGTTCAAGTATGCCACAAATCTTATATAGAAGCTGTCAGACGTGCATTTTTTCGGAAGTGTGCACCACATAATATTTACTGATATTCTTCTGTGACCAATCAGTAGTTTTGCTCACTAGTGAGATAGAAATCATCTCATCAGTTCACAGGTGTTACGTATTTTTGAAACTGATGTCATCATTGATCTTTTCAAGGAATCAAATAGTTCCAACTACATCACGAATGACAAGCTAATAAGGCGCATTTGTGACGGTTACAATCAGTTGAAATTTTGAAGATTTGGAGTTAATAGTATGAAGGATTGGTCTAGATGCAGCCTAGTATAAAGAATCTGCATAGTTTCCTATGTTAATGAATGTATTTGAGTAAAAGTCTGTAAGGTGCTCGGAAACCCTTATGGTATTCAGAAAGAAAGTATGAACAAAAGAAGCATCTCCTGAGGAAGGTATATCAGCAAAATATCTGACTGCCTTTCTGTCTATATCAAAGTAATCATATAACTAACACTATTCAAACGCTATACGGAATTGAGCAGAAGTACTGTACAACCATCACTTTTATCCAATCATTGTTTAGCCTTTCAAATTATTTTATAGCACGCATTTGATTTTGCTTTCGGGGTCATAACACTAAACACAAACAGTTCGAAAAAATTAGTTTCTTCAAATGATCTAAGCTGTAAGAGAATTACTTTTGATTTCTTGTGTCGCTTTAAGTAATGTATCCTAAATTACGTATTCTACATTTATTTACTACTTACCGAAACAAATTTTAAATATTATCGTAAGAAATTCAAGATAAAAATCACTGTTGACAGAACCAATTAGTTTTCAAACGAATCACTCTCTGTTTACGCAAATGCTAACTGTAATCTTACAAAGTGACTGGCAAGTTATGCAATAGCATCTCTCAATTTTTACATTAGAACGATCATTCATTTTGAGCATATTGAAAACGAAACCCTGAGTTAAAATTTGATTCTATTATTGGAAAAAGTCACCTATTAGTATATAGTCGTCAAAGCATATTTCTTATCCTCCGTGAACAGATGAAATTTGTTGCCACGTATTAATATATCATCAAATCAGAGTTTGACTAGATAAAAAATAAAAATTCATAAGTCTAATCCATTATTAAATAGATAAGCAACATTCCAATTTATACTTTCTTCATTCTTATATAAAGCCCTCCTCCTCATCTATCAGTACAATTTACAAAACGACTTCATTTGTTCAACGAATATTCAAAGTTCGTAGTTAAAAGTCAATATAGAGCACAATCAAGAGACGTTGAGACAGAACACCACTATACCGATAAAGGTACTATGCCAGATAATACTGCAGGTAGTCAACATTTAAAAAGGGCATAGAACTATGCGTGAAAAAAAATATATTTATGCGATCGTATTGCAAAAGTCACTATTAATTAGAAAACTGATAAAAGTATGAAAAAAAATGAATATGGAATTAAAATTAAACGAATTCCGTTGACAATGATTTTTTCTCAGTTTTCTTTTGCTCACTAGAACTTGTTTCATCGCTTTTTGAAGAATCAGTAGTTTTATATTTTGCAGAGCCACGATTCTCAGCATTACCGTCAAAACTTAATTGAACGTGTTCACCAACAGCTTTATAATCACCAGTTTTCCGATGTTGACGCTCTTCAATCAATTTACCCTTAATATCAAATTTATTATCAACTATCTTCTTGGAGTATTTCTTCTCCTTTCCAAAAGTCTTGAACTTAGATTTATTAGGTATTTTCCGACCGTATTTATCGAATTTGCCCTGAATTTTGTAGTGGCTACCTTCGGAAGACACTGCTCCATAACGAGCTATCCCACGTGACCTGAATTTTCCTTTAGCCTTGAGTTTACCAGCTTTTTCTGACGTGCGTAACATTTTTGATTTTCCTACTACTATGTATGATTCTAAGTCATTCTCCTTATTTACGGACACACTGGAAGAAGAATCACTGGACGAATCAGAATTCTCTGAACTTGACATTGAACCGGTAGTTGAGGTCTCTTCTTCCTTTCTGGAATCTGTGTGACTAGGCCTGTCACCTCGCTGAAGTAGAACAGTTGGTAAAGTAAGCAAAAGTATGACGCATATGAAATTCATTTCTGTCTAATAATGATATATATTTCACATAAACTTATCTACTAAATATTCGCTCTTATCAAAAAGAATTTCAGTTTTTATATGATTTCATTTGAACTTGATTGTGCAGTGCATGCAGTGCAACCAACACAAAAGTCAATCAAAACGAGTGAAATAAATGACTTGTGGCTATTATTTACTGTTAGACTGTGATTGAGTTCATATGGAGTTGAATATTTTCTCCGTTCAAATTGTCTATTTGCTGGATGGTATCGTCTACACTGTAATATCAGTAATCACATGCTTTGATCATGATGTAGTATACATATGTTGGAACTTAGAGATAAATTAGTGAATTTTTCATTCACCTCAAACAGAGCCAACTCATCATCATGTGAAAAATAATTTTATATTTCGTCGTAGCATAGTTGGTCACTTTCAGTTCACCTCCACTAAAATAGTCATTGCAATTTTGAAGCTGATCAGACTGCATAGAACGAAGCTGTCTCTTTCCATATGGTCATTTCACTTCTCTATTAAGCAGTATATCTTTACCACTCAGTCTTCATAGTGGGACACTAATGTCTGGGTCGATATGGTCATTTGATGAAGGTGCTTACTCGTATGAGATTTCAGAGGTGTTAATAACCGGTATGTCTGTGCTCTGAACACCTTCATAAGAAAGTTGGATGAAGGGTGATTAGGCCAATAAAAAAGAAAACACACCAGCTACATCTAATTTTCTCTTAGTGAACACTTACAAAGTTATCATCAGGGAGTGAACATCAAGTTACTAGGATTCGCAATATTTTAGTGAATTTACAGTAAAGTGACCTTGCTAGAAATGAGTGTCAAGGCAGTTAGAGATCGTGAGTTATTGTTCGATCGTGGATCAACTGTAACACTGTTCAGATAGAAATATTGCTGTTTTAGCCTTAGTTTGTGGGTATGTGTAGTATAATATTCACAGAAAGTGAGGAGGACGTTTTGACCGGTGAATGTTTGGATCGTAGTCGCCCTAAGACAGCGAGTCAAAGTACTCTACAAGCAACAACCATGAGAAAATTGTTTGTGTTAGTTGCATGTTGAACTGTATTTTCATTTCGTCGCAAATACGAATGTCTGAAAACTTAACTTCGTTAAATGCCATTCGTGGTCAGTAGAAGTACTGTGTTGTTGGCCATGTTTGTATGCCACTGGTGTATGGCTTTTGACTGTGCTTATTAAGCACATATTCCATTTTCATTTGAGAATTCAAACACTATACATATACTACTGAGATAAAATGGTAGTTATATCGAAATTTTCTGAAATCAGGACAGACATTTTTATGACTATAGAGAAAAAAGTTAGTGCGAATTCGCAAGCCTACTCATATTTATTTCAAGGTGATATTCATGTTGAACCAACATCATCTGTTGAAGCATTGGAAACTAGGGAGCGCTGGACAGTTGTTTTCTCCAAGTACGGGACTGCTAGACAGTGAAGAGACATGACCCCACCAGGCACTAATCGGTCTCGAAAACCCCCGAATGTATTTGCTGCTTAGTGCTTATTACTGACACCATCTCCAAATCAACTAATCTGCACAAAAGCTGAAATTGAAACATTTATATAATTATTAAACAAACTTACTTCAGTACAATCTCGGCGTGATTGGAAATTGGAAGCGGCTTTTTTTGAAACTCTTTCTATGTAAGGCATGGCTTCGTCTACAGAATATCTGGATTCTAAACAATTGATACAAGGTGAGGATTAAAGGTGAAATGAAAATCTGGGCGGTAACAGGATTTGAACCAGTGACTTTCATGCTACAGATTTCCATTTCATTTTCTGTCACCACCCGGTATCCATACAAGTCTGTGAAACCACAGCTGTCTGTCTTAGATGGTCAAACTGATATTCTTATGAAGTGTTAAAAAATAATAGTCGAACAGTGTGCAGGTCTTTGGTTAGGTGATTTATTGTGCAGTCTGAGTGGTCATAGTTATCCACCGAGAGTCCTTCATCATTGAGAAACATTAAGCAGTCGCAACAGGCATGCATGTCACTGTTTGTGTAGATGTGTTATTCGTTATACTTTTATGAGGCTACAAAAGACATGGCTACATTTCATTGTTCATTTGATTAAAGCAAATGTAATAGGTGACATGAAAATTCCTTCTCTTCTGGTTAAAGCATGTGATAACGTCAAATATATATCGGCCTTCTGAATTCATTTTTCCTTTATGAGAATTACGCAGCGTACTTGATGCGTCTACATGATCCAGATTAGTCTTATCGCTACTTGTAGCTGCATGCATTGTCGTTTTCATTCTTCATTTCAAACTCCGTTCTTGTTTTGATTCCTTGGTGTACTTTTGGTACGTATTATGCACAATTTGAAAGATTTATAACCTTCTCAAACATAATTGATCTTTCATATTTCAGACATCGAATCTCGTAAGCTCAGTTGTTCTGTCATTCTACCATGTGAATGTTTCACGTTGAAGAAGACCTTTTCCAACCAATGTGAAGACCCTAAGTGGAATCTTATATCATATGGGATAAACACTGTTTGAATCTGCTCAGAAGTATTCTTTTGCAATATAGTACTATCATCGAGAATACTCATGACTTCCCTGTGATCTTATTCTTGGCGCCTGCAATTTTATTTGTTTGATTGACAATGTGGATTGAAACCATTTTTACTACCAATTGTTCCTCAAGACTCGTTTTCACTTTCATTGTCAACACGACGTTGTTTGCTGGACTTAATAGATTTAATGTTTTTATGTTGGCTCCATGATCCTAATGAAGGTATAAACATGAACTGTAGTGTGTTGATTATTTGTATGTTCGTACTTTAAATTCACCTCCACTCATTCGTTACATAAAATAAACCAGGAAGCTTAGAGTCTCACTTCTGGATTTTTACTGTATTTCTGAATTTTCAAGGATTTGAAGCTGAACTGACAATCAAAAAGCCTGTGAATCAAGTGTCTTGAGAATGAGAAAAGTATCATCCACATATCTTTAGGAAAGTTTGAGCTGGCATTGAAGAGTGTTTTATGCCAACTACTTCAGAGATTATATGAAAAGACTTGACATAATTAGAGATTCTGGTAAACGTGCAAGCAGTTGGAAGTTACTCATGTTAACACGTATATTTCACTGACCAGGTCAGAGTTAAATAACTTCTTTTGTTTATGGTTCACCGGACAATGTCAGTTACCATAAATAACTGATTGAAATCAACTGAATCTATCTGACCGATTTAAGCTGATTAAGAAACAAAATGGGAGTTCAACTTGTGAATTTTTTATAAACTGTCATAGGGTTTATTAAGAGAAAATACTAAGGGCATCACATTTAGGTAGTTGTAATCTATACCAATACGAACCAAAACATTTCTGAATATTTTGCCAGCCACTCACCTGTAGCCTGTAAATTCTCAAAAGTCGATATTCACTATCTTAAAGGTAGATTTCTTTATGCATCTGAAGTAACGCTTTAATAGTTCGCTAGTAACGTCACTGACGTGAGTAAGAGAGGGCATCAGTTCCCTGAAGGTCTTAAATATGCCTTACTGGTGTGAGTAAACAAGCACTAAAATTAGGTCACGGTTTGCTGCGGATTGCCTCCAACTATCTGACACCCATCAAAATTCACCACGATGGCCAGTCTATCAGCTTTGAGACCACATTGCAATAAAATTCGATCATTACTCAGTAATAGACAAAGTGAGAGTAGTTAGTCAATGTACAGTGATCTGCTAAAGATCGTGTTGGGTATCTAAATAGTGGTCCAGTGAAGTGAAGAATAGACTACACAGTGAAAAACAAACATGCAATAAAGTGCTGAAAAAACTATCAAAGAGATTCTGTTGGCCTGAGAGATGTTTTGTAACTGGCTTATATGCAAACAACTGTTTTTAAAGCACCATACTATATATTCACTGAGCTATGAAATAAAATCAAGCAATCTAGACATCTGTTTTCCCACTTTTCAGTGTAAACTTTCTATTGTGAGACGAAAAATTCATCAAACCTCTAGGTTAGAATACCTAAGAAAAAGATCACGTTTATTTGTAAGCCAAACTACAAAGTTGAATTTCATTCTCCTCAGTATTGTTCTTTCTTAACTCGTCAATCAGCATTTCATTTTGAGGGTTTCTGGGGGTTTAGTTATTTCAATTTGGTATTCATCATGTCGTGAACTGACAATAGTTGGAAATATGGATCATTAGATACCTACCCAGTGGCTCGATGGCAACTTGCTAGCCACGGAACCTGAAGGTCTTGGGTTCGACCCCTAGAAGGGTCATGGATGTACACTGCTGAGGAGTCCCATACCAGGACGAAGCAGCTGTCCAGTAATCCCAGGTTCCCAATGTTTCTTTAAATGATGTCAGTTCATGATGAATACTAACTTGAAATCAGCATTTGTCTTAAAATCATTATTCACAGTTTTTCATTTACCTTTTAGAAACATCTGTTGAAATTTTTGAAAAATTAGACTATGAATATGTTTGTACATCGAAGGAATTTATTCATTCGGGTGTAATTATGATCAGTGATTGTAGAGAAATTGAAAATCCTAAATTACCATTTCTTTCTCCATAGGAACTCCGGATCACGTCCCTACAAGGGATCAAATCATCTATCCAATGTAGCTATATTCTTGACAATTCTTTAACAGATATCAGACCATCATAAGAACTTCTGTTATATTGCTAGATCCTCAAATTATGATCAGTACAAAACTAACATTGTTTATGTTTTCATTTTTCATTAAGTACTGAATATTTCATTCAAATTTATAACCTGAATTCTGAAAATTCGCATATGGTCATTACTAATTATTCTCTCCACTTCCATTTACTAATTAAGACAATTAAGCAAGGTTTACTAAAATATTTCACGAATAATATTTTATCAATTTGTCTTTTGAATTACTACCTGTATAAATTTCGTGTAAGCAGTATATTTTTGTGTATTAAGATGTGGATATTTATAGCACGGGAAGTTAGAAGTTGAAATAGGTATAATAAATCACTGACACAAATTGTCGAGTGAAATTTAAAATAGTTATA